GAAGAGATCCAGCTCCAGTTCACAGTGGACCCGAGAGACTCTTTCGATTTCTTCATCAGAAGATACCCGGAACAAATTGGAGGCCAGTTGCCACATAGGGTGACGAATTATTTTAACTTTTCATTCTTTTTTTTAGGAAAGCAAGCGTAAACAACCAAAACAAGCTGCCATAAATTTTTCCTGGGGGATATGGAAAATCTCATAAAGATCAATCTATTTGAACTTTTATCACGGAGGTGAAGCTGAGCTTCGCACCACTTGCGATACAACAACTGGAGAATGAAAGCACCATGACACTCAATAATTAGCAAAAAGAACTTCGAGCGATGTTACAATTGATGAAAGAAGTGAAAACGTTTTTTACTATATGGTTTTTGAACGAAAAGGATCCACGATAGCTATATAAAAAGTGTAGGCAAAGTTGGCAACAGAATTTGCAATCTAAACCTAAAATTCTTCAGTCGACAACCATGAAGCTAAAAAATCATCAGCAGAAAATTAATATCGAAACTTTATAGTTATACACTGGTTTGCGTTCTAAATATGGTATGTAGCAGTAGTAACTATTATTCAATAGTTAAATTTGAATTTTCATGAAATTCAGCATGTCATCAACATATCGGAATAGTCAGCAGCACAGCAGCAAGGGATTCAACTGGTTTTGTTAAACTAGTTGTTAGCCCGAAAAAAGTATATATTCTGATTTTATAACGCTTGCTAATATCAAGCGTAAAAACTCATGAAAAAAACAATGAAAGCAACTGACACTAGTGATTGACTCATAGTTGCTAATATGGGTTTTTTAGACTCATTTTGAGCTATAGCCATCTGTTTTTTTTTCAGTTGGTAGTTTTTTTGGCTTTGCGTATATTCTTCACTTACTGTGGGTAAGTGGAGAAGAGATGTCTTCCATAAACCAAAACAAAAACTTGGGCAAAAAATGAAAATAGAGAAACAACTCAACAATATCCTCTAACTTCTTTTTCAAGTTTTTAACTTTATTGTGACATTTTTCAAATTTAACTTTTCGAAAAAAAGTAAAATTGAGTTTGATTGAATTTGATTGATACAAAAAGATTGGTTAATGCGACTGATCTAATCTTTTTTGTTTAGATTAAACATTATCCTCTCATAAACACAATGCTTTACGATTATGGAGCCCGAGGACTAACACGTCCCGAGCAGTTCAAGTCTCTAATTGGGCAAATCATGAGGAACTTCACGGTGATTTTGGTGGCCGAGATGTTCGATGAAAGTCTAGTTGTATTGAAGCACAAACTGTGCTGGGATTGGTCGGATGTCGCTTATGTAACGACTAATCAAGGCAAGAATGTTTTTGATATATTACACAATTAGCGAACGTTGTGAGAAAATCTCAACAAAAAAGTTAGCACTAAACATTAACCCAAACCAGTACTCAAAATGAAGTATTTTGCTGCTCGAAGAGTTGGCATGCAGCTGACTGATCCTAAGAAAAGTATTTTTAGTTTTTTCAAGGTTAATTAATTCAAATATTTTTTAAAAAGACACAGTGATTGAATGTCAATTGAGCGCAACAGATTTTTAAGACATTAAGGTCTTAAACTTGAGATTTTGGGCGAAATCACTTATGTCCCAAATTCATCTTCAGGGAATTTGCTTTGCATTCTGCCCATTTTACAGGAAAGTACAAATTCGAATTCAGAAACGAAACACTTCTCGAAGAACGCAGAGGCCACCACAGGCGATTCGCACCCTACGAATACATGTTTTACAGCGCTTCATTAGACAAGCTCAAAGCGGACATTAAAATCATTCCTAATTTTTTCGATCAGCTACTTGAAATGAGATCTGTCAGAAGAAAAATAACAGGCATCAGTTTAATTCGAAAGATTTTTTCTCTAATCAAAAATTTATCTGGACAAAAATTTCACGAAATGATTGGGTAACCAGTTACTGGAATCTCCGTAAAATATAAAAAACTAGGAATCGTACTTAACTTACCCAATAACTTATGCTTGGTAATCCCAAAGTGCTTAAAACCACTCTCCGTTTTTTATTTCGAATTGAAAAAATAGAAAGACGGATAAGTTATCGTTCTCTGAATGTTTTCTCTTAGAGAAACATGGCTTCTCTCATAAACCGTTTTTGACAAGTTTTTCTTCGGACTTTCGTAAGAAGCACGGAATTATTATGCTCGGTGAGATTTTTTTTGCCTTTTTTATCTAGCAATTTGCGAGGAACCTTCATCATACAGTTTGAAAGATTGCAAAGCTTTGAGATCAAAATAGAAGAAATTCACCTGCGACCAATTTTGATATAGCTATGGGGGATTACTGATTGCTCATTTGGACAGTTGGTGATACTGCTCACTCAATTCTGGTTGCCAAATTTTTCCAAATGATCAATTTTTGGCTGACCAACGTCTAAAACTTTCTAAGGGCGCTTTCGGCGCCAATATAATTAAATTTGAGGGGGAGCGCGTGCGAAAAAAAACGCAATTTTTTGGTCAATTACTTTTTAAAAGAGCTCAAAACGTCACTTTAGCCCCAGTTTTTTTCAAAAATATGCCTGCGGCGCAGAAAAGTTTGGACAAAATAGGATACTTTTGGGGTTTTCGGAGAGCTCGGAAAATCAAATTGGTCGAACTAAAAAAAGTTGACAAAATTTTCAATTTTTTTCCGAAAAACCGCCCTCCCCCCTAGAAAAATTTCTGCGACGCCACTGTTACGATACATCTCTAATGTGGATCAATTTTTAGAATGTTACGGGTGTTTGAAAACAGCCAAATTTGACTAAATAATGCGTGATGTATATCCATTTATCAATGACGCTGAATTTGTTGTCGGCTCATTACACCCGTTCAAAAAAATCTGAAAACTGGAAATAATAAAGTTAATCAGTCCAAGCAGCAATTCATCTCTTAACTTATAAAGACTCATAAAAGACTTCAAAAAATACGAGTCATGTTGAGTTTTTGAATAACTTTCAACATGTCTAAAGGAACTTTTGATGAAATTTTCAGAACGAACGTTGAAAAAAATTCAGAGCAAAATTTCAGAGCAAAAATTGAAAAATGAAAACAAACTTTTTAAGAATTACCCCCTCTACAAGCAAGAAAAAAGACTTAACTACTATTTTTACTTGTATTTTAAGCTGTACTTAATCAGTTTTTGAGGCCTATATTTTTATATTTAATTCTCTTCTCGCCAACTACAAAAAAAAATTGAGTCGGAAGTGTTGGTTGCACAGCGTAAGTTGTAAATATATGTTGGAGAACAATTTAGAGCAGCATTCTGATCACTGAAAAGACTTAAAATTAAACTGATGTAATGACAGAATGGTGCTACACCAACAAGACATCCGTGGACAGTATCACAATTAAGACCAAATTCAGCAAGACCGATCAAACAGTGTTTCGGAAACAAGATTGCACGAAGATGAGGATGAAAATCGTAGACTATACTATAAAACTGATACAGGACCGATATCATTACACTCCAACAGAACACTGGGATGGCGAGTTTGGAGAGCACCCCTGATAAAAACAAATTCATCTCATTCTAACCTCCACTTAATATTTAAATGTTAGTTGATATTTATAAGAACAGAATTGAAAGTCACACTCGTTATAAGCAAATATAGCCTCCATTTCAGGAATGAATCGAAATCTTCTAGGTCTGAAAAACATATGTTGTTGCAGTGTGGAAAAATCGCACTTTCATTTTTCACCTAGTTTGTAGATGACAATATCACGGTCTCTTGTCGTTTTATCTTATGCCACTTTGTCCACGAGACAGATTGTTCTAGCTCAACTTGCCCGCCAAGACAGTTAGCAGTCCGTATCCAATCAGTCACCCGCTGAGAGACATGACTGTTTGCTTGCTGAAGAAATTTCATGAAGCATGTTGTTATATAGGTAATATAAAACTTTAATAGGTTTGCTATTTAATTTCAATTTCAGTTGTGGTTTATGTTGTGTAATTATTTTTCTGCAATTGTTGCATTTTTCCAAGTTCATGTGTTGTCCGATTCTAATGTGAGGGGTTTTAAACAAAAATTAGAAGGGGTTTTAAACTAAAATTAGAAGGGGATTTATTATTATTTGGCAGATTTTTCCATTAAACTATCTTCAGAAGGAACAACTTGATTACCTTGATTAGAAGGTAACCTTTAACAAAAACTAACAAACATCAAGTATTTCGAAAAACTTATAGAGTGATTGATCATTCAATGTTGGTGGGGTATATCATTCAGACCAGATTTGATTTTTAAAGAACCAAGTTTGAGAAAACCTTTTACGAAGTGAAACTAATTGTAGCCGAGCTCAAACTCAAAAAGATGTTTAAGCTGTGATATTTTTTGTAATGTTTTTGGGGTTAAAAAAATGGGTTGAAGTATTTTAGCAGACCGGTTTTTTTAGCAGACCGATCTTTTAGGAGACTCAGAACAATTAGCAAGTAAAACGCGGCGTTGGTAAGTAGCGATGGTTTGCTGCGCTGCGCTTATATTCGGCACAAGTGACATTGTGCGCAAATATCATTATTTTACTGCAAATTGAGACCAATCTGATTTTGAAATTGATAGTTTTGAGGACAAATCATGAGAACGTCTTTTTACGTCTGTCAATTAATTATGCGTAGGTTGTTTTATCTTTGTCCCGCTACAAGATTAGCCCCCAAAAATTGGTTGCATGGGATAATTAGGGTGTGCAAAACGTCACACTTTTCTTATTTAAGCTAAGAAATAATCCCGCCAAAAAAAATTCTTTAATTTAGGTTGGGAACCTGCTTATTAGCATGTGTGTCGATTAACATGCGCATGTGAAAGAATGTAGTTTGAAAATTCGGTATTTCAGGGTTTGTTGATTCAAATGTGAACTTTTGAACAGCGTGAACTCAATATTTTTAATTTAAGGAAAAAATTTAACTCTCCTAACAAATCAAGTTACTTTCGTAATTATTTGAAAATTTAAGCTACTTTGATTTTCGTCTGAAAGCACAACCAGTTAAAGTTAGTCGCTATCAGTTAGATCACTTTAAATATCAAATTGGTAGACTCGAAATAGGACACATCGTACTTAACAATAAATTTCAACTAAAAGATAGTCGGGGTATGATTTAGTATGTGAGGGTTTTATAAAGATTGCCAAAAACTTAGAAAACTAAAACCAGAAGGTTATCGACACAAAGCCGTTGAACTACACACACACAAATGCACTCACACACATGCGCCATACACACACGTACACGCATACGCACACTCTTACGGACACACACACACACACATACACACACATGCATCACATACACGCGCCACCACACACAAATGCATGCACACGCGCACACAATACACGCACACGAGCCATACACACACATACGCACGCACTCACATATTCAAGCACACACACAACACACTCTTTACGCACACACACACATAAACACAAACGCACGCACAAGAACACAAACATACACAAACACACGCATACATACACAACACACACAAACACATTCACACAAAACAAACACAAATCTTCACATGCGAGATAATGCACATTTGGATCGATGACCAATAAAAGCTTTTGTTTCATCATTAAGAAAAGGGTGCAACTGTAACAGTCATTACTATAGTTTATCTCGAACGTAATTTTACATATACCCTTTGCTTTATGAACAAAGTTGGAAAATGTAAATGCAAAAAGTGGATCATTTTCTTACAGCAAAGCTGTGCTTTAATACCAAAAGTAACTAAAAACTGACTCTCGTGTTTCTAATTAAGCAATTGAAAAAATCGAACGAAGAAAAATGTGAGATGCGCAGATTCTACTGAGTTAAGTTTTTAATCGCACAATTCGGTTCAAGTAGTAACCTCACTTTTGCCGTAAATTGTTGGCCAAAAATAGTCTAATTGCGACATGTTTTAAGTAATGATGATCACGTCTTGCTGCCTAAAATATATTAGGTTTCCTCTCCGAAGAGATTCATACTTATTTTTTTTAATGAACTATATTGAAACTCTGGGAGATCCTGTTTTCTGCTAGGTTCCATTAGAGTGAGTTATTCTCTAAAATATAAGAGATGTCAGTTTTAACCTCTAGATCAATAAAGCTTGCGTCAATGACAACAACTGACGTTTATTAAATTTTGTTCTGGTCAGGCGCGTTGGTTAAGTCACTGGCATATACATCGAACTTTCATGTTAGTACTATTTGTTTTTTAAGCTGCAATATTACTTTAAACTGCGATGGCTACTGTTAATTAAGTTTGGAACCCACTTTGAAATAATTATTGAAAAAATTTCCACCGCCTGAAACCTCAACCGCGTAAAATTCAATTAGAGCCAGTAGCTTTAATCTGATTAAAGTTCCAGTCGAGCGGAACTGCTAGAATAGATTGCTTCATAATTGATACTGAAATGCCGATTTGCAAGATATGGCCTATGAAAGCGTCCAAAAGTGGCCGAAAAAAGTTAGAATGACAAGGATAGCCAGTTGCTGCGCATATAGCACAAAATGTTTTTTTTGTAGGTGGCGTTATGATAGAACTATACAAACGGGTATAAAATCAGCAAAATAGGTAACGGTGACACCAGCTATCTTTAAAAATGAAAAACAAATAAAACATTTTAAAAAATGCAAAAAAATCTTAAATTTGAGAATAATACTTCAATAAATTAATTCTTCTCTTCTTGTTCTTAAAATTTGTTTGCACAAAATTGTTCAAGCTTTTTTCGATTTTTTTTGAGTTCTCTCAAGACTGAGAGTTTTTTCAAAAATTTTTAAATGCTATTCGAATCACGAATGAGAGGGATGTAATATGATATATCACTCGACCCATTCTGATGATTATTTGTGGCACCTGATTTTGTGTTGAATAAAAAAGAAAAAACTAAAAAAATACCCGAATACCAAGTTCCTCCCTATTTTTCAAATGGTTGGAACAAAACTTCAAAGACAGCAAAAACAAGAAATTTATGCAAGGACCATTTTCCTGACTTTCTCCTGAAAAAAAAACACGACCTTAATTTATGTGATCAATCATTTCGTTCTTTAAATATTATTTCATAAAAGTTTTGCAATTTTTTTGCTGCATGAAAGCATCCTTCAAAAACTCAAGTATACTAGCGTGTAACGCACCTCCGGTGCTGCGAATTTTTGACAACTCATAAAAACCGCATATATTTGAAAGCACCCAATTACATTTTAGTGGACAGCACCCAATTACATGGTTGGTAACTTCATATTTTATAAACAACTTTTAATTCCTATTTTCCGTCATCTCGAAACCGTGAAACCTCGAAAAGTACAAATATTTGAGTAGTCAGATTTGGGGTCAAGATTTGCAACCCCTATGAGTACCCAGACAACACCCAATTTCAGGGTTAGGAATTTAAAATTTAAAAAAGTTCGAAGTTGAGTTTTCTGAAAAAAACTTTGAAAAGATAACAAAAACGTCATATCTGGAAAACTACAAGGATTTGAGTCGTCTCATTTGGAGGCAAGATTCACAATCCTTGAGAGTACTCTGACAGCACCCAACTACAGGGTTGGGAACTTCAAGTTTGGTAATTTATTTTGTGATTTACATTTTCGGAAAATCTTTGGAAAAAAAACCGTCGTATTTCGCACACTAAAAAGATTTGAGCATTTTTAATTGGACTTCAAATTCGCAACCACTTTGTGAACCCTGACAGCATCCCACTATTGGGCTGCTTTTAAAATATTCAGTGGAGTAACGACTGAATTCAAACTGGACAATCGATTGGAAAAGAAAGATAGAAAAAAAACTCAAAAAAAGATCAAAAAAGAAGCATCGAAAAAAAGGATACAAAAAAGCGATACAACAAGTAATAAAAAAAAATATAAAGAGTAATATAGGAAAAGTGATTCAGGAAAAAAATGATATTGAAACATGGATATAAAAAAGATAGAGGAAAAAAAGATAGAAAAGATCGAAAAAGAAAGATAGAAAAAATAATCGAAAAAAAGATAGAAAAATAAGGATAGAAAAAACCGATAGAAAAAAATAGAGAAAAAAAGATTAAAAGATCGAAAAAGACGGATTGAAAAAAAGATCGAAAAAGAAGGGTAAAAACAGATAGAAAAAAAGATCGAGAAAAAATATAGTAAAAAAAAGATAGAAAAGATTTTTAGAAAAAGATAGAAAAAGAAGGGTAACAAAGATAGAAAATAAGATAGAAAAAAAGGCAGAAAAGATGAAATTCCAGATAAAGAGAAAGAAAGATTGAAGACAACCGTTTGACAGTGGTACTATTTTGAACTGAATCGTCGAAACCAAATTGAAAATTAAAAAATTAGGAGACGGGTACACAGTCATAATCAATTTAATTTAAAAAACAGGCATACAGACAGACAGACAAACGTAATTTGGCCCCGAAAAAAATTACTGAAAAAATTAATGACCCTGCGGAAAACTATTTGAAAAATTTTCATAAGCATTGCAGTGTATGATTTAGCTTAAACATTAAAAAGAAAAAATTTTTTCGTTAAACGTTATATGGAAAAAGTTCTTTCGTTAAACTATTATTATGCTTAAACATGGGAGGTAGCTGTCACTAGCATTTAAATATAGTATAGATAGATAGATAGATAGATAGATAGATAGACAGATATATAGATAGTATAGATATTCAGGGTGGTCCTGACAGCACTGATATTTGAACTGTGAAAAATGAATGCCAGACACGCCGTTGCTGAGTTAGGGGCAGGGCGTTGCTCCCCTTTCCCTCCTTTTGGTACATTTTAAGACCTCCATTTTCCGCTAATGACTCTGAAATTTTTTCTAATGAATTTGGCACCAATATTACTTATTTTCAGGGGAGCGCAAAAAGCGATGTTTTTGGCAATAATTTTTCAAATTTAAAATGTTTTTGGTCATAATTTTTTACTTTTAAAAAAATTGCCGACGGCGCAAAATTTGGCCAAAACAGGGTTTTTTCTGGCTTAGGAGAACTCGGAAAATGAATTTGTTCGACCTAAAAAGGTCGCCAAACTTTTCAATTTTTTTTGAAAATATTTTCTCGGAGCTGCTCATAGGGTCCTTGATAGTAACTTGATGGTACTGATATGGCACTGACACCGTGACCCCTGTATATGTTTGCTCCATATAAGGTCATGGAAATTTCGTTACTGAACTTTTGAGCTCGGCTCAGTGGCTCTTTTCCGTCTGAGCGAGCAGAATAATCATGTAAGTGCCAGAGAATACCTGAACCATTCCATAATTCAATTTAAAGGCAGTAATGCATCTTTTATTTTGCTGGCATATAGTATCTGCAAGATTCCCCAATCTATAGAGGGTGTTATTGCTATTGCCGTCAAAAATTATTGTCTTTCACTAACCAGAATATCGAATAAGCCGAAAAACGGAATTTGGCTCAGTTATACGAAAAACTGACAGCCATCAAGTATCAAGCACCGATGTTTTCGCTTGCATTTCTCAAAAATGATATTTATCTTTATTTTAAAAATAGTTGTCCTTGTTCATTTGCTGAGCCGACCAGACCTCTGAAGACCAGAAATTGCTCAATCAGGTTCTTTGACGCGCAAGACAATGGACAACACCATTGAGTCTTCGCAATTGACCATTTGGTGGTGAAGTTACTAATGCCATGCCTTCGATGTTCCCATAAGAGCGAATGATCTTTTGATCGCTTCTTATTTCTGTTCATGCATTCGAAAGAGGGACAACCTCCAGTGAAAGAAAATAGTTGCCACAATACTATGATTCTCTGTATGCATATATGAAAACTTGCAGTTCCCTAATAAAAAGTCTCAATTATAATTATTGGTTTCATACAAAAATGTAGTAAGCGCTTGCTTTCAAAATTAACTGGCAAAAAGCCCAAACGCTTGTATTGAAAGTTGAAACAATTTCATTTACATTTTCAGGTCAGCAAGAGAGAAAAACTTACCAGGAAAATAGATCTTCTCTTAGAAACATATTGCTATCTGAAGTATCTATTTTTTATTGTTCTTAAAATAAACAACCGTATTGGCCAATAGAAATGTGGAACAGATGAGACAAAGAAAATATTTCATAAACTCAAGCTGAAAAATTGGGCAAGTTTACTCACCTTAAGGGCTGTATTGTAACTTTAGAAGTTTTCAATCCTTCCTAATAAAATTTTATTTGGGCTATTTTTTGGATTCACCTACTAATAATCGGATATGATTTTATTCACTTTTTTGTATAAATAGTATCTAAATCAATTCCCTGAAGGTAGAGCATAACATATTTTTGATATAATTTATAGATCGGTTGAAAGAGTAAATTTGCGGACAATTACAAAGCCGAGGAATAATATAAAATTGATTTCATCAATTTCCATTGTTGCTTTTCGTTGGGTTAGAAAAATATAACAGTCATATTAATCTTGATTAGAAATTAACAAATCAAACATTGTTTCAAAAAAGGACAGAACAGCGAAATCATTCTTAAAAATGAAGCTCAGCTCCTTTATCGCCATCATCGCGGCCACCTTTCTGGTGAGTAGTTTTTCAGAATAAAAGCTTTTTTCTTTCCTTAAAAAGAATTTTTAACTACTGAACATTCGTGAAACATCACCAATCTTCAATCCTCTCGCCGCTTCCTTATACGCTTTTGAGTGACACCCGTTTAGCCAATTTGGTAAGTTGTTGCTTCTTCAAGCTCTTATGAATCGAGGAGGCTAAGCAATTGACCTAGAGCAGCCCTGGCTGAGTGGATAAAACGTCTTTAACCCGAAATTGTGGGTTCGAATCCCGTATCGGTCACGGTAGGAGGAATCCCAGTGTCACCCACCTCCTCAAGGTGGGACCGACAGCGGAAAAATGGCTGACATCCTTTTGCCCCGCAGAAAAAAGGCCCAATGTTTAATGGTGGGAGTTTGGCTGGGGGTAATAAGAATCGCAATAAGACTACAAAATGTGATTGCCTTTTTTGACGCCACATTCCGAAATAAATCGCAAGTGAAATTGAAGCCCTGCAACTTAGGTGCAGAGAAAATAACAAAAAACAGCTCATAAGAAAATTTTTGAACCATGGCTAATGTCCCATCCCCTGTCCTTACAAAATTATTTTAAAAAATTTCATTAAAAAAATTCAAACAGAACTTCATATCGATCAGTAGCGTGTCGGAGGGGGACCATAACCCCTTCTCAATTCCGGTTGCCAAATTCTCCAAATGATCCCCCGATCGCAATTTTTTTACGACGCTCACTTTGGAGCCAATATACACTAAATATGAAGTTGCGGGGCCGAAAAAACGCGATTTTTAGGACAAGCCCTTAGAAAAGGAGCCCATAATTTGTTCGAGCAAAAAAGAGCATAATTTATTGTGTTTTTGGGGAGCTCAAAAAATGATTTAATTTAACTTATAAAAACAGTCGAAAAAACTCTTCAAAAGGTCAACGAAATTCCCACACAAATAATTTGGGTCAATGATATCAATAATGAAGCAAGTTTAAAAAATCTGTGTTTCAGTGCAATAACAACAAATGAAACAAATATAGCTGACTTTTGTGCAAGGAGCGCAGAAAATTCCGGCCACAATTAAATAAACTAAAAAAAAACGATTTCTTCTTTTTTTTCTTTGTGACGTGAAAAAAAGATCAGAACCTAAATTTCAAAATGCGATGTTAATAGTAACTTAGGTATATTTGACAACTATTCCACAATAAAAAAACACAAAAATCAAAAATAATTTTTCTCCAATTTTACTCCCAAGAAGGTGCTAAAAGAAGTTTCGAAAATAACTTTTGAGATAAACTGAGTTTTCAAGACTTAACTTAATTTATCAGCTTGTTATTAGATGTTTATTTGAGCATATCATAAGCCTGCTTGCTCGCTATATTCACTCCAAATTGGACTACAAAACAATCTACAAATCGGTTTCACTGAGAAAACGTTTTGGAAATTTCCATGTTTTGTTCTAATCACAAAGGGCTTTAATATGCTATATCACTCGACCCATTCGGGCGATTAGTTATAGTACCTGATTTTCATTGGACCCAATTTAAGCATTGATTGAGTTGATAGCCTAGTCAACAAATAAAAACTACTCAATCGAGAATCCGGCAACCAAATGTTTCCGAAGACTTCCCACTTTGACACTAATATATAGGATGCGTTTTGGCCAGTCATTTCGAATATCTTATAGAGGAACCTTTGACGCGAATATATACAAAGTTTATGGGAGAGTTTGCGCTAAAAAACGCTACTTCTTTAGAAAACCTTCAAGATACCAGTAAAACTTAATCGTCATTTTGTTTTAAAATAAAACCTTCCAAAAATATTAAAAACGCAAAATTCAACCCGCATTTTCATTCGTCGATTTTGGGCGGGTTTAACGACATTTTCCTTCAAAAAATGCCAACAGCGATTAAAACTTAGCTACACTGCCAAAAACACTACCAGAAAGCGCAAAGAAAAAAAAAACAATTTCAAGAAGTGACAACTAAGCTGACAACAGATAAGCAGACAAATAATTGTCCGACAATTTTGTTTGAAACAGAATATTTCCCATTTGAAAAAAAAAGTTCCTGGTCAGATTCGAACCCAAGACCTTTACCTTTTTGAAATCATAAAAAAGTCACCGAACACATTCGATTCAGAAAAGTACAACGCCAAAAAAATATCGTGACTGATGCAAATTTTGAACACATCTGTTTTGAAAATATTACCAAAGTTTCACGTCAACAAACTGATGACTCATCATGAAGAATAAAAAATATTTCAGTTTTTCGATTTTTCGTTACGAAAATTCATATTAATCAATTTCCCTTAGCAAACCTTTACTAACAGCTAAGATCTGAATTTGACAGACATATGAAAATGAACTCATTTTGTTATAGCAAATCATGGAACACCATACTCTTGAATACGCTACGGCTCTCAAAAACAAGCAATATGAGAAAAACAGATAGAAAAAAATTGTTGTAGTCTTTTATGAACCTGGTCTGAACATCCTGTGCTACTTGGTATTCTTGTGTTAGCTTTGTTCATGTTCATTCACAAAACTTGGTACCACAAATAAATATCGATGACTAGAAGACAATGCCTAGAAATCGTAAAGAAACTTAACTTGGATAAGAAATTTCGAAAGTTTTTGAAAGTGGTCTGAACAACAAGGATAACCGGTTGCTGTGCAAGTTGCAAAAATTTTTTTTATTGCGCCTAGAGCTCGGAATTTTCCAATAAAAAAGATTGTTTTCTAAGTTTTTTTAATAATTGTGGTCGGAACTTTCGTTACAACTTGCACAGCAACCGGTTATCCTTGTTATTTGGACCACAATCAAAAAGTTATCCGGATTCGGGTCCGTTTAGATTCGGGTCCGTTTTTTTCAGCCAAAATTCTTATGATATTTAAAACCATTTTAGTCGTGACTCAGATTCTGACTACAAAATTTGATTACTGTTCTGTGTCGAGAAACAGCTGAGAAGTTTTCGGTTTTCCAAGTAAATTAGACAAAAATTGATGAGAGGCGGACCTCCCACTATAATTTAACCTTAGTAATAAAACTTTATCATCATGTTAGCATCCATGTTACCTATCGTTCTTAAAGTTTTCAATATAATTCAGTCCCACGTTACTGAAAAATAATTGAAACCGGAAGTTAGAAAAAAAATTTATGATTATTTTTCGATATTCTTCTTCTTGAAATTGGTTGTATTGAATCAGTGTGGTCGGATCATTCCGTGTTACATGCACAGCACCGGCAATCCTTATTGTTCCGACCATTGAAATTTGGGAGGAACTTTGAATCAAAGTTTGCTTTAGTTTTTTCTTTTTCTGTTTTCCACGCAAAATCAGGTAACACAAATCATTATCGAAATGAGTCGAGTGATATATCATATATCATAATTTCTCCACTGTCGCGAAAAAACCGGTTTTATATTTTTGAGTTCAAGTCTAACTTTGAGCAAGTAAAGCAAGCAAGCAGGCTCATTATAGAAAGATAAGACTCCAGTAAAACTATTTTTCGATAGTTTTTTTAGTGCTATCTTGGGAAAAAAACTTTTGCAAAAAAAATATTAAGAAAATTTAAATTTTTTGTTTTTGCTTTTTTCCAACAATTTATCGACACAATCCGTTGCCTGATTTGAATAGTTTACTGCGACTGTCGCAGATGCCTTAATCTTAGCTTTTCGTCAGATCCTTTCTATCACACCACGGAGAAACAACACTAATTTGAAAAAATAAAAAATATATGCATTTTTTAGGAATATGGTCGGAACATTCTGTGGTACTTGCACAGCATCCAGCTATCTTTGTTTAATATTGGATATACTTATTTTGGATACAGCTGTATTGTTTAATACCCACTTCCTAACATGCCTAGCTGAAATAAATGATTTGCGAAAAGAAGCGGTTAGACAATCAACTCTCCTAGGCACTTTATAGACAAACGAAACTAATCGCAAAGAGAGAGAAACATTGAATTAATAAAATGGTCAATAAATCAGAATGCCTGTTATCAAGTGTACAATAATGAATAAATAAAATTATTATCAGACTCAACATCACCATTGGAAATCTTTATTAAATAAGCCTATTCGATGACGAATTCCAAAACATAGGGATATGAACTCACCCAACCCCAAACATTTTAACGCTAGAACCAGTAGATTATGCAAAAAAAATATTAGACCCAAAAAGTTTATCAGGGCAGTAATTATAGGTAATTTAAGAAAATAAACGTTTATAAAAAATCTTCATTTTGGGTTGAAACTTCAATATTTACATCAAACAGACACACCCTTTGTAAGATAGAAAAGCAGGGATAAGACAACATAAAAAGTGCACAATATTAACCAAAAATCTACCAGAAAACCTGTTGACTAAGAACCTCTACCAGAAAATTGTTTTTAACTTGTCCTTTCCTTGGTTAAATTCAAGTAACAACGACGAAATATAATTAAAGAACTGAAATTTACTTGGAGTGAATTTCAATTTGGGTCTTTTCTATAAGTCCCCCTCCAGTTTATAAATGAAGCATTCAAATCAAACGATTTCTCTGAAAAAAAAGAAGAAATTTAGCTTAAAAAGTAAGTCGTCACTTTAACAGCTTTCAAGATGAATTTATTCGATTCACACGAGAGCCCTCAAAAGTATCTCTAGGGAAAAACCTTCAGCATTAGTTACCTCCATCTATCACCGGAGGCAGTCGGGCTAAAACCGTGAAGCTAAGAAGCAAGGAACATAAATTCCTCTCATGTCTTCTTTTTTAGTTGACAGTATCAGTTCAAGCTCGCTCTCCTGGAAAGCATTTCTTCGGCGCACATAAGCGATTTGGATACATGCCTGCAAAATACATGAACGAACTTCTAACGGAGCACGGAGATGACTCTTTTGGCGATGATCAGGGATGGGCGAAATACTAACTAGGAGCAGATTGATAGTGGTGGGGGCGGGAAATTTTTAGTAAATGCAACTTTTTGGTCGAAGTCTTTCAAAAAGTTCCCAAAAAGGGTGTCTTTCGGCCTAAAAAATCGCAATTTTGGGGAAATCCTCCTCTCGAGAGAATCTTAGATCAACCCCTTATGATAAAATCAATTAAATCTTGCTACTTCATTTTTGAATTCAGCTTTGAAGTAGTAACAATATAGAATTATTACTTTAGGAAAAATCCTAGATACTACTCGGCCATTCAAAACTAGAGAATTTTAAATTTTAAAGCAACAACTCTAAGCAATTGAGGCGCAGTATCAGTGTTATCTAATTTGGATGGTAGTATTATGTGAATAAATTACCCATCCCTGTGGGTGCAGAAGGAGACTGGTGAAAAGAGAGGCGCTGGAAAGTTTTATTTTGGGAACAGATGAAGAAACAAAACGACCAACCACATAATCTCAGACCACTAAGAACTGAGAGACCCACTTCGATTTGCGTACTGCTACCACTTTATAAGTTATGATAGATATATGCTGATAATAAACATTCACCGAATAAGTGTTTTTTTTATAGAGTCCGTAGAGAATAACTTTGGGTCCTTTCTAATTTTAGGCAGGACTATAAAGTAGTTATGGTAATTGTTGTCTACTCCCAGTATTCCACAATGAAAGATCTTGAAAAATTTATTGCATTTGTTTTGCCTTATTCGTCGCGCACTGAGTGTGACTTTTAAAGGGTTAGCTACGTTCAAGATCTGAATGTGCCCTTTTTCCAAATTTGCGTAAATACCATTCTATGGGGATATTTTTGAAGCCGAGATGTGAGCAAAACTGCCACTACAGCTTCAACCTTTCGATTTTTAAGTTGTAAGGGCCCAGTGGTGTTTTGCATGTCCATTCAAGGGGGCTTTTGCTGGAGGGGAACTGAGAAAAAACCCTAGCTATTTTACGGTTTTTCATTTTATTCACGCCGATTACGGGGACATCATTACCCAGACATCATTAATGGTTAAATTAGCAATCCCATTACTGAACGTAGCCAAAAAAGTTGAGAAACAGTGTCATTGAACAATAAATATTAGAAAAAAAACAATTACATTTTCAACTTTCGAAATTCGGAAAAAAATTATCACGTGAAAGCGCTTTGAACATCAAGAATTGTTTAGTCTAATATTTGTTTTTCAAAAAAATAGCAAAAACACTGGGAACGCTGGACGAATAGGTTTTCTTAATATTTGGTAGGAAATCTTAAGTTTAAAAATTGCTTCCCGCTCACTAAATATTTCAGAGATTAAAATCTTCAGAGGTCAAACCGCAATTTGAGCGTGAACAAAATTAAAGACCATTCCACTCCCCCCCAAAAAAAAACACAAAAAAACAACGCGACCTGAATAAGAGATGAATACTTAATTTCACTAATTTCTGACAGGCAGAGCGGAGCTTCGCATCATCCGAAATCTGATCATAGCAAGCGGCATGAATCATAGTAAAACTTCTTCATTCTCTGCCCGTTGTGTAGAGTTTGTTAATGGTGAACTTGATCTCTAGCTCGAATTCTGATTCCGTAGCCAAGCAATAAATCGTGATCAACACGAGAGAAAAAAATAAATAAAAACGATCGCACAAGTAATGTCAAAGGAAATATCATACTTGCTATGTGCCATTGAAAATGAAATTTATTGAGATAATTATGAGAAGGTTGAAAGATCATTTATTAAAATGAATTGAATTGTTTATCCGTGAAGAACGAAAACAACGTTGCCTACTAAATTAATGTATGCATTGTTTTCTATTTTCTGCTGCTCACTGAAGTACTCATGTGGTCCATACTGTGCGATAACGAAAGCTCGGGAATTATCATGCAATCTACCAAAAACAAATATCGTGCATAACGTGTCGTAATAAAATATTATCTCGGGGTTTATTGATGTCCCATAATGGCTGTGGTTGCCAAAAACGACAATATCAGGTTCATTAGGTAAACTATAAAAAGGCCTGAATCCTGGCAGTAATCATAAATTGCGTTATAATGACTTGGGTTGGCAGTAAGATAAGGCATAATTAAGTGAGAGCATATTAAAAAACAAAAGATATAACTGAGAAAATTTAAGATAATATCAAAGCTAGAGGTATGAACGTGTAATGAATTTTGGAAACGAAACAAAAGGGTGAGTTACTGTCTCCACTCATGTCACCATGTGATGGCTCTATTTTTAATTTACTTCCTAGGAATATTGGACAATGCTTTGCTATAAAATTCAATCTTTCGATGGCGAGCTTTTACTTTACTTCGGAGCAGGGTCGACAGTATCTGATCTCACTCTTAGATAGTAAAAATAGTTAGTTATTTTAATACTGGATTTCGTCTTACTGTTCGTCAGGTTTCAATCTCATCGCTCTCTTTGTTATAATTTTTACACTGGTTTCTTTTCAATAGTTCAAATATAATCATATCTACTTGCGCCGGCACGCGCCAGATGAAAGACAATAACAAATTTAGCGACACTTAATAAGGCAAGAGTTTACAGTATTTTATACGGCAAGTTATAACTGGGGCAGGATGGAGTAATTATGTTCTCAGATAGGTAAACAGATAAATACGTTTTTCCGGTTTATGAGTGGTTTTAGCAAATACAAGAATTGTTTGTGGTGTTTCGTGTTTGAGCAAGTGATTTTACATTCTTATGATGATATACAAGTTCAAGCTCCATATATGGTAATAAGGAAATATGGATGATTATAGCACTCTTAATATAACGGACTTTTCTAGGACGTTACACAACCGTTCTTTGATAAAATTTATGTATATAAATTTAAATGTGGTTACTAGTTTTTTTTTCTAAGGTGCCACCCTTAAGTTGTCGATTGTGTTGTTGCGTTGTTCACCGGTGATTGTTGTTGCTGGAGGGTCTGAACTGGGAATTTTTGAGGAGACCGAAAGTAGATTGGGTTTTGGTCTGTTTGTTGTGTTTCATGCGGGATTTCACGGGCATGTACTGAATGCCGTGACTGCGATTGGAGACTTCTGCGGGATGAACTGAGGGATTGGGTTTGTATGGCGTCTCTTTGGCTTTCCTCTTGTATCAGATGCTTGTGGTGTTCATCCACAAGGTTTTCGATTTTGTTTAACCGAAGGAGTATGTCTTGTATTATTTCTTCATCCGTTGTATATTCATTAATGAAAGTTATCTTCATTTTGAGCTTATGATCCATCGATTGTACCAGTGGGAATTGGTCCTTAGTTACTGACATAACTTGTTTTACTGGAATTTTTGTATCGGTCGATTTCATAAATTTTGGCGTTAAGTTTCGAATAAAATTGAATTTATGATAAAGGTACATGACTAGGATGTGTAAAAGGAGATTTCCGATAAAAACAAAGATTGTGAGGGACAAAGAGACTTTTATAGGGACGTAGGAATCGAGTTTATCAATTAATTTTGGTTTCAAAAGTTGCATTTTGTGGACTAAGGGTTTAGCAATATTGTCATAATCGTTTTGTTGAAGATTATCTACTGACATCATTGTCAACTCTAGTTTCATTTGCTGAAATAGGGCAATATTTGCGTCTGCTTTAGACTTGTAATAGGGTAATTGGTCTAGCTCGGGGACCGTTGAAATAAGCTTCTGAAGAGGGTCGTCTAAATTGACGTCAATTTGTACTGCTGGAATTTTTGCGCAGCTTGACAGGTCTGACCGTATTTTAATATGTTTGCTTATAAGTTGCTCTCCACAATTGAGAGTTATAGGCAAATTTTACATCCATCCTTATTCACGTTTGATGTTGTTTCTTGTCCACTTACTATGTGTTGTCTCCATTTAAATTGTCTTGCGCTCGTTATTAACCAAATTCCAAACCCGAGGTTGGTCGCTTTTTCCGGGATGGGTAGTAGGATTTTTCTGGTTTCACATACAGCTAAGGCAACTATCGGTTCCTGGTAGTAAAGTGTCGCAAGACATGAGGATTGTGCTAAGTGTGTTTCCATTGTTTCATGGCAAATTCTGTATGTTGATGATCCAATGCAGTTGTCCAATTGTTTTTGTGTAAGAGTTGTCGTTTCCATCGAATCCTGTGAACCTGCTAGGTATGGGCCTTCGATGACCCATTCTAAAGCTTCAGAGGGATCGCGTTGTGGCATTGGTACTAAATGTGCACTGTAAACTGTAAAGGTTGTTGTTTTTGATGATAGAGGTATCGCCAATGTCAGAAGTAATCCTTGTTTTACTGTTGAAATTTCTGTTAGTAATTTCGCATCGTAATAGGACATTAGATCTTGCATTGGAATTGCCAATGACAGTTTATCCGTGGAGTATTTTTGTGCATCATGTACTGAGTCGAGTACAGCATTTAAAGATTCTCGTGGAACTAGGGACATTGGAAGTCTTTTGTCTAGTAGAATTGGGATTGAGTTGAGCAAATTTATGCTATAGGCGTATAAAGCTGAACGGTAACTTTTGACGTCTGCATACATAACGTTCAACAATGAAGCGGCTGTGTCGAAATTGAAATTTAGCTGTTGGAGCGAAAACAGCATTTGAGTACAATCTCGTAAAACATGAAAGTTGTTTTGAAAGATTTCAAATTGCTGCTGTACAATTTTCCAATTTTTGTTCTGGTTTTCTTGCATTTCCTTTTGGATTTTTGCTATTTCGGCTATTTCGTTGGAAATCAAGAAGAATTTCTCGTTGCTGGCTTGTTCAATTTCTAAAACGTACTCTGTAAGTTGGCTAGCGTATTGGCTTAGTCGGTCAATGTTCTCTGCATTTTTCTTTCCAGTGTTTTGGCAATTACCGAAAACTCCAAGAAATCCACAGTCACTTGATCCTCCCATTGATATTCCAAGGGATCCGAACAGCGCTATTCCTGCTACAGCAGCGGCTGCTACTACAGGTGCACCGCGTTTTTCACGATTTTGGATTCCTTGTGAATTTTGTTGTTTGTTTTGATTTTCTTCCTCGTTTTCATCGTT